TATCAGCTGGACGCTTCACTCTCCACTCTAGTCCTCTGTGGCTATGTCACTGACTCTGGGCCCAAGAGTCCCCAGGTCTTGCCACACTGCTGGCTAACCAGGTCTTCACCTGGGTTCACAGAAGCCTATTGAACGTTGTATGGCTTAGCTCACCGCTTCATTGCTGTTTTTCCCTCACTTCCCCTTATCGGTGTTGAGCATGGTCACCAATCACAGTGTGTATTCCCATTGAGTCTTAGTCTTGGAAGGGGGTTTTCACTGAGGGGACCCGACCACTTGCCTTGATGTTTCTTGGGCAAGCAAGTTGCTTGTTCTTGTAGTAACAGTCGGTCTGCCTATGCTGTTTTGTATTTTTCCTATAGGTCTTTCTAGTTTCATTTTTAAGTGTATCTCTTTCTTCCTGAATTTAAGTGGCAAGGAGAAACCACAGTGTCCTTTCAAAGTTTTCCTTAGAAATATCTTAAGTAGTATTTAACCATCACCTCTTTTCACAAATAGTATAACCATCAAATAGTATAAACATCACTTATTTTCACAAAACATTGAAACATTGTTCAGACAAATTCTTTGCCACTTTATAAAAAGGTGTACCCTTCTCCCAGTGTCCAATAAGATTTAAAGGGTCACCGTTTCCCTTTAAAGCCTCACCAGAAACACATTTGGTGCCTACATTTCTGAAAATCTATTCATGGCAATAGAAGTGTTTCCCACAGCTCTCAATTTTGAGTGCTCACCAGAATGGCCCTTGAAGTCATCATTTTACCAAATGTTTCAAGGTACTTCAGGCTCTTGACTCCCTGGTGGTCAAGTGATTAGCATTGGTGCTCTAGGTTTAGTCTCTTACTATCAAATATATCAAAATTCCCTGAACCTCTAGCCATAACCTAATTCCAACACCCACTCTACATACTCATTAGAGCAGCACCCACACTTCTCCTTGCCAGAGTGCCTTAATTTCTTAGTGCAGCGGTAACAAATCCTACAAGTGGGTGGCTTTAAACTGATTTGTTTTCTCCCAATTCAAAAGCTAGAAGTCAAAGTTCAGAGTGATGGCTCTAGGAGAAAGCTCAATTGGTTGGTTCTAATTTCTGTCACCGTGGTGCTCCTTGATTCTTTGTGATTCTCAGGTGGCATCTGTCTTTCCTTGTTTGTGCTTTCTTCTGGTGACTGTCCATCCGCATTTTCTTTTTCTTGTAACTCAGAAGTAGATTTAAGATACAACCAAATGCTAATATGATCTCATTAACAAAACAGAGGAATCTGGATTCCTAACAGGGATTACATCCACAGGTAATGGGGTTAGGATTTCAACACCCATGTTTGGGGGAGACAATTCAGTCCTTAACAATGCTTGAAGAGGAATCAGCATTAGACAAATATTTCTATCTTTTCTATGAAAAATAGGTGTCCTATGTTCATTTTTTGATTTTTCAAACTTTAACTCACTGGATTAGTTATTTTCTTTCAACAACAAAGGAGTGTAAAAAAAAGAAAAGTTCTATTGAATTGGATACTAAGAAAATTGGAATGTTTACCCATTTCTAAAATAAGTAGGGGAAAGGTTTTCTAAGTGAGACTAGGAAAAAGGTTAATGTATATGAAACATTAGAATATTAATTCTGATGGGAATAGTGAAAATTAAGAACCTTAGAAGCTGGGTATAATTTCAATTAACTTAGAATGGAAAGGGTTTTGCATTAAAAATCCTTGAGGCAGTTGAATGCATTGCTTATTCTTGGGAAAATGAATAGAATTGGGTTCATTCATGAAAGAGAAATAGTTGTGAATTAACAGACAAAAAAAAACAGAGAAGATGTATTAGGGCCAGATTATTGTTGTTGTTAAGTACCGAGGAGTCGGTTCTGATTCACAGTGGCCCTGCACACCGTTTCTGAAGCTGTAAACTTTTACTGGAGCAGAAAGCCTCATCTTTGTCTCACAGAACGGCTGGTAGTTTTGAACTGCCAACTTGAAGTTAGCAGTCCGATTCGCAACCACTACTCTACCAAAGCTTCTTGGGGCCAGATTATAGAAAGTCTTTAATTTCAAACTGAAGAGCTTAATCTAACTACCGATTTAAAACCTTTAATCTGAATAGATAAAGGAGTAGTCAAATTTCTCAAAATGATTTTATACCTTAAAGTAAGCCTGAGGTGCCAAGCCAGAACACAGTTACTCACTAACTGAGCAAAAGGGATAGGGGTATGCTAGTTAAACACACAGAGACTGATTATCGCTGCTTACAACTCATTGTGATTTGCAGCTTGAATTTTTTCTTCAGTGTTCTTTCTGCTTGACAAACACTAAGGGTGCTCATCCCTTTTGGGGAACTCCAGTACTTTCCACATTTCATTATAATACTTTGCTTTGTCTTCTCGAGTTTCTTTCTGAAATTCTCCTTTCAGATCTTTTTCACATTTCTTCCATTTGCTTTAGCTTCTCTACATTCAAAAGCAAGTTTCAGAGTCTCTTCTGATATCCATGTTTGTCTTGTCTTTTCTGTCTTTTTAATGACCTTTTGTTTTCTTTCTGTATGATGTTCTTGAGGTCATCCCACAGCTCTTCTGGTTTTCAGGCATTAGTGTCTAATGTATCAAATCTGTTCTTGAGATGACCTCTGAATTCAGGTGGGATATATTCAAAGTCATATTTTAGATCTCATGAGCTTGGTTTAATTTTCTTGAGTTTTAACCTGAACTTTCATAAGAGCAACTGATGGTCTGTCCCACAGTTTGCCCCTGGCCTTGTTTTGGCTGGTGATATTGAGCTTCATCACCATCTCTTTCCACAGATGGAGTCAGTTTGATTCCCGTGTATTCCATTTGATGAGATCCATTTGTATTATTGACTTTTATGTGGTTTAAAAAAGGTATTAACAATGAATAATTTGCTTGTCTTGCAAAATTCTATCACGTGATAGAATGCATACATAGCTATCAAAGTTACAGCTACAATTTCTGGACTGTCCTTTAGAGATGTAATACCAATGGCTCTTTTCATTAATAAGTAGACTGCATCAAAAGTATTGCATTAAAGAAAATTCAAAAATCAATGATCAACCTTCAGCCTTTTAAGTAGCAGCCTTTGCCCTGTCTCCAATATTGTTTGCATTGTTCATTATCCACCTAGACATTCTATAGAAATGATATAGTATCACTAATCCTATGGACAATAATGGCTTTATTATCTGACTGATCTAATTTTTCATACCAGGAACAAAAGTCAAAGGAAAGTGCTGCCAAACATAAATTCTACCTAGAGAACCAAAAGCAGATTTGTAAGAAAAGCTGTTTCTATAGAATTTTTAGGGAGTTTCATGACTTCACCACATGTTTTCATTGGCATTGTGCCTATTTTAATATACTTGTCCATTAAAATATATAACTGAAAGTTTTTATTTGATATTAAAATGATCATTTTATTACAATTAAAATTTAGGCTGGTGTGATTTTTGCATAGCACATGCCTGCTTTACATTGAAAGAACAAAAAAATATTAATCAAAGATTCAATCACCATTATAGTAGAGCCTACAATTTTAATATTATATGGGAAAATACATATAAAGTTGTACATACGAATATGTAGGCATACAAACATACATGTTCACACATATACGCGTGAATGTGTGTAGACACATGCATGTTCTTTTAAACCATTTTAAAACAAGACATTTACTTAAGATCTTCTAACTTCTACTTCCCTGTTCCTGTAGAATTCCGTGGAGTGACGCTGTTAAAGTTGGTTGTATTAACATTGGTCCCTGGAATCAGATGTTCATCTTCCCCTTCAATTAAAGAGTCCCACTGATCAAAATCTTTCTGAAGTCCTGTAAAATATAAGTATTAATATGAGTGTCAAATTTCAAACAGATGCATGCCTCTAGGTGGCACTATAGAATCACAAATTACATAAATGCAGAGCCAAGAAGGTAGTCAGTGTCAGAAGTCAAGATTTGCAGCTGCATCAGAGCCCAAGTAGGATGAGGCCCCCTGCTATTAGTATCCCCAGCATAGAAGTTCACCCTAGTTTTCACAGAAAGGCTATTAGTATAAGCAAGTAACTTGCTTCCTATGATATATATTGTATTGTTGTTTTGGTTGTCAGGTATTCTCATAGCGACCCCATGGGACTAAGTACTACTGCCCCATAGGGGTTTGTAGTCTGTCATCTTTATAGCTCTCCCGCAGAGCCACTGAGTGGGTTCAACCTTTTGGTTAGCAGCCAACTGTTGCACCACCCTGGTGGTGGTGGTGGTGGTGGTTGGTGGTGATGGTTATGTACTATGGAGTCGATTCCTGTGGTGGTGGTTATGTACCATGGAGCAACTCTGTGCAGGGTTTCTGAGGCTAAAAATCTTTATGGAAGCAGAAAGCCTCATCTCCTGCAGAACAGCTGGTAGTTTTGAACTGCTAACTGAGTTAGCAGCCCAACTCTTAACCACTATGCTAGAGCTCCCTGGCTCCTTATGAAGCAGCAAAAATTAATTTCTCAAATTTTTATTTTCAAACTGATTTACAGCTATGTTAAACTGTAAGTCAATTAGAGACAGCTAAAAATAGGACACTGTATCAAAATAAAGTTTTGCTCTGAACATCATGTCTTAAAAGAATATTAATTGCTTACCTAAATGCTTCTGTAAGAATGCTAATGAAGCTTTGTTGCTAAGAGAAATAGCTACATTTGAATCAATATCTCCTTTTAATGTCAATACTTTTCCAATTACTTTGTTAGTTGCAAAAGTGAAGTCATCAAAATTGTGATGGACTGCACCCCTAAAAAAAGAAATGAGATGGTCACAAATCACCTAATTTGATAAAATTACTTTTGTACTTAGGTTACAGAAAAGATACTGGTCTTGATGGCCTGTTCACTAATAACTACTTAATATCAAAGAGCCAAAAATTATAAACTTGATCAAATGAGATGGATTTGAGCACTAGAGGCTGTTCATTAGAGGCCCTAGAAAATATTTATCTTTCCCTTTAAAAACAATTCTAGATGAAATGATCCCAGTTTTTGGTGAGCTGGTAGACTTCCAATCTGAAAAATGGAATGTGTTGAATGGGCCCTGAACTCAGAGCCAAAGCCTGTTTCCTTGCTACCATCACCTACGTAAGATCTGGTTGATGTTTAATAAATCACTTTGGACTGTGATTTGTTGTTATGATATTTTTAAAACAAACCATCACATAGAACAAAACAAAACTTCCCTTGTATCCAAATCCACTGTCACTGAGTCGATTTTGACCCTGTTTAGGCTTCCCAAGACTGTAAATCTTTATAGGAGCAGAAAGCCTCATCTATTTCCCATGGAGCAGTTGGTGGGATTGAACTGCCAACCTTACGGTTATTAGCCCAATGCTTATCCTACAGCACCACCAGGGATCCTTGTAACTCTCACTCACAATGCTCTCTACATTCACCATCAACAACCTAACATTAAATGGCGGCGGTGGTGGTGCTGATGTGCCGTGGAGTCAGTTTCAATTCTTAGTGACTCTGTATAGGGTTTCAGAGGCTGTAAATCTTTACAGGAGCAGAAAGACTCATCTTTCTCTCTTAAACAGCTGACCTTGGAGTTAGCAGCCCAGCTGGTAATCCATTATGCTACCAGGGCCCCTTTACATTAAATAGAATGATATCTTTAAGTGCTCATCTTCTAGCACCTCTCAGACATTTGATATACAATGACTTTCTTGATCTTTTGTCTTTCTGTTTCTTCACATTGCAACATCCATCTGGCTCCTTCACTCTCCCCCATCGGCTAAATGTACACATCACTCAAGGGTCTATGCTCACATCAGTTCTTTCCTCATTTTGCAAACTCATCTACTCCAAACGTTTCATCTATGACACCATAGCAAATCTATATAGTTTTCGGGTGTGGTTAGATGCATCTCTATCAGGATTTCCCTGTCTCAGGCTAAGAAATTCCAATGTTAAAAACAACATTTCCCTAGTCCTACCATGAACAACTCTTCTTCTTTATTCTTCTGCTTCTTAGAAGCAAATCACCATTTTTTTAGTCATCTAAGCTCAAAACAGAGACGCCTGGTTCCATCTCCTTCTCCCCCACATTCCAGTCAAAACATGAAGGTAAACAGAGGTAGGGTAATGGGAGAGCCAGAAGCAGAAGCCTGAATGAGAATGGCCTGAGGAGGAGAGGGCGGGGAAGAAAGTGAAGGAGCAGGAGCAGGAGCACTCTAAATAATAGAGGAAGCAAGTAACCGTTGGGTCCTGCTAACCAAAGGGAGAAGAAGAAGGGTAATCAACACTGTCAAATGGATGCAGAGAAGAAGACTGAGATACCCAAGAGACTGCTGGGTTTAGCATGCAACATCTTTGTGTCTTTGCAGGGACAGTTTCAATAGACCATTGGGGTCTTAGGATGCTAGACAGCAGGAGTAGAACAGTGAATGGGAGCAGGAATGTGAAATGTGAAACACAGGCTACTGTTTCAGGGAAGGAAAGAAAACGGATAAAGAGTTTACCAAGAAAGTTGGCTTGAGGAAAGGCCACGTGTTTTGTATTGTGTTTTAGAATTAGATAGACTTGTGCATACAGAGAGGATAAATTACAGTTTTTACCTTAAATAACTAGCCCCTTCCTCACCACATATATAAACTCTATTTGTCCTTCAAAATCCAATTCTAGTTCTAGCTCATCTAAGAAGCCTGACCTCAGTTGGAATAGACCCTCCCCATTCTCTGACCCCCACAGTTTAATGCATCTGCTTGATTACTTCCACCCAGAAGCCCCTTTTTTCCTCTTCTTAATTAACTAGATTTCAGATAGCGGAGGAATGAGCTCTGTCTTTGCTTTTTAATATCTCACTGTGAGTTTAAAATGCTACCAAAGTGTCCTTTTTCATGTACTAGATATAAACAGGAGTCCTGGTGTGGTGCAGCGGGATAATGTGCTAGAATGCAAGGTCAGTTTGAGCTGCAAATTTGGCAGTTCAAACCAAGCAGTTGCTCCTTGAAAACTCTATACAGAGTCGTTGTGAGTCAGAACCAACTCAACAGCACTTAACAACAAACAACAACAAAGATATAAGCATATTGTCAACATTCAATGGTCCCCAATTTAGCCTTTGGGAATTTATTAATACATTTTCTCAACAATTAAGCATATTTCCTGTCTCAACAGCTGACTGTTCCTCTAATGAATTCCTATGCTTGCCTAGTGACAGAATTGCCACACACCCCCTACAACCACCCCACCAAAAAAACTGTAGACATGTTCTTATATTTAGATAAATGTAGCAGGTACCCTAAGGCAAATTTTAATTAACAGTATGTTCTCTATGCACATTAACGCTATTCAAAATATTTTTACTTTTAAAAGAGCAAGTCTAAATGTACTAAGAAACTTAGATTATCTGATATTATCCCTCCTAAAGCCTAGACAATTAACACTTCTATAATGTCTACTAAATGACATCTGTTGATATTCGTCCAAGTTTGAAGTTTCTGTTCCAGTTAATGAAATCAGTCACTTACTAATACTCACCTGATAGTAATCATTTTTCTTTCTCTACCAGGTAAGTATAACTTTTTCATTTTTCTTATATTATAAGGAAATTGGAATTTCTCAGAGTTGATTAAAAAAAGGGGCTGAGGAATTCTGGAATAGACTTCATCACCCAGTGGTTCCATCCATGCATCCAAGGCAATGCCACATCTGTAGATATTTGTTGGCGATGATAAAAGAAGGCTGGTTAAACAAGACTGACATATACCAGAAAACCAAACCCACTGCACTCCAGTCAAGTCCAACTCTCACTGACTATACTGGGCACAGCAGTACGAAGCAGCCAGCCACATCTTTCTCCTGCAGGGAGGTTAGTGGATTTGAACCACCAATCTTTGGGTTAGCAGCCCAACATTTAACCCAATGTATCATCAGGCACCCTAAAAATACTAGGATTACCAGATGTAGATGTTAATAATTTATTATGGGTTATCTGACTCATTAACAACCTGCGATATGCAGATGATACAACCTTGCTTGCTCAAAGTGAAGGGGACTTAAAATATTTACTGATGAAGATCAAAGAGCACAACCTTTGGTATGGATTGCATCTCAATGTCAAGAAAACAAAAATCCTCACTACTGGACCAATAAACAATATTCTTATCAACGGAGAAAAGAGTGAAGTTGTCAAGGATTTCATTCTTCTTGGATCAACTATCAACACTCACGGAAGCAGCAGTCAGGAAATCAAATGACATATTGCATTAGGCAAATTTGTTGCACACGACCTTTTTAAAGTGTTGATAAGCAAAGATGTCAGCTTGAGGACTAAGGTGTGCCTAACCCAAACCATGGTTTTTTTCAATAACTTCATATGCATGTGAAAGCTGGACAGTGAATAAGGAAGACCATAGAAGAATTGATGCTTTTGAGTTATGGTGTTGGAGGAGAATATTGAAAGTGCC